CCCCGCGCCGCGCCGCGCCGCCGCCGGTAGGGACGCCGGACCCGCCGCTGCCCTGCGCCCCATCCCCCCGAGGCCCTTCCTCCCTTCCCTGTCCTTTCCATTCTTCCAGTACTTCTTTCCGTCTCAAAGTAGAACCCGCTGTTTGGAAAGTTCAGAAAAGGATGAAGAAGCAGAAAAAAAAAAAATCCACATCTGCTGAAATCCTTTCAACCTCGCTGCTGTACACCTTGGCTTATTTCCACGTCCTTCCAGTCTTTCCGAAGTCTGTCTCTATGAAAATTTTTTTATTATGGTAAAATATATGACAAAATTCGCTATTTTAACCATTTTAGGTGTACAATTCAGTAGCATTAGTTATAATTACAGTGTTGTGCTCCCATCACCACTATTTCCAAACCTTTTGCGTCACCACAAACAGAAACTGTACCCATTAAGCAGTAGCTTCTCATTTCTCTTCCCTCCTGTCCCTGGTAACCTCTAATCGATTTTCTGTCTCTATGAATTTGCCTAGATATTTCATATAAGTGGAATCATGCAATGTTTGTCCTTTTATGTCTGGCTGCTTTCACTTGCCATGTTGGCAGGGTTCATTCATGTTGTAGCATGTATCCGAAGGTTGTTCGTTTTTGTGGCTAAATAGTATTCCCTCGTATGTATGTACCACATTTTTCTTTTTAATGCTTACATTAATGGACGTTTGGATTGTTTCCACCTTTTGGTAATGTTGCGGTGAACATTGGTAAGTATCTGAGTCCCTATTTTCTGTTATTTTGTAAATACCTAGGAGTGGACTTGCTGGGTCATGTGGTAATTCTTTATTTAATTTATTGAGGAACTGCCAAACTGTATTCCATGGCAGCTACACTATTTTATATTCCCATCAACAAAGTGGGAGGGTTCCAATTGTCCCCAGCCTTGGCTTCCACCACAATCTTTTGCCCTGGAGGTAGGCAAGTTTAATTCAGTTGCAGCACTTCCCAGCATGTCCACCACCTTTCTGGCCCGAGCTCCGAGTTAGGTGGAAAAAGATGAGGACCCTGTGTCATTCCTTCAGGCAGCCCAGCCGGGTTAGAACAGGCATACACAACAAATGTGAATAAGATGCTCTGCTCCTTCTGGAACCGGGAACCGGTCGCACACTGGGAATCTTCAAGACCTTACTGAGGCAGGGAGGGAGTGGGGCAAGGGCAAGTAAAAACACCACAAAGCTTTCCTAGGCCAAGTTGCTGTTTTTTCACTCAGTGTTTTCCGGAGTTCTGACGAAGTTGGTCCTATCAGTCTCTGCTTGTTTTGTGATGGTTGGGGGTTAGGGGTGGGGGGAGGATTGGAGCTGCCCGCTGCACCCTTCTGCTGTTCCCTGCAGTCTTTTTAAACAGAGTCGAGGTCGTGTTGTATAGCCAGGTTATGTCTTCTTCTTCTTCTTTCCAGTTAGTTAATAGACTTTATATTTTAGAGTGGTTCTAGGTTTAGAGAAAACTGAGCAGATAGTACAGAAAGTCCCCAGATACCCCTCACAGTTTCCCCTGTTGTTAACATCTTGCATTAGTGTGGTACATTTGTTATAGTTGATTAACCAATATTGATACATGATTACTAACTGAAATCCATAGTTTACATTGGGGTCCACTCTTTGTGTTGTATGGTTCTATGGGTTTTGACAGATGCATGAGGTCGTGTATCTACAGTTGCACTATCCTACAGTTACACTGCCCTGAAAATCCCCTGTGCTCCACCTATTTATACCCCTCCAACCCCTGGTAACCACTCATCTTTTTTTCTTTTCTTTTTTTTTTTTTTGAGGAAGGTTAGCCCTGAGCTAACTACTGCCAATCTTCCTCTTTTTGCTGAGGAAGACTAGCCCTGAGCTAACATTCAGGCCCATCTTCCTCTACTTTATATGTGGAACACCTACCACAGCATGGCTTTTGCCAAGCAGTGCCATGTCCACACCCGGGATCTGAACGGGTGAACTGTGGACCACCGAGAAGCAGGACGTGCGCACTTAACCGCTGCACCTCTGGGCCAGCCCCCCCTCATCTTTCTAATATCTCTATAGTTTTGCCTTTTCTACAATGTCATATAGTTGGAACCATACAGTATCTAGCATTTTCAGACTGGCTTCTTTCAGTAAACAAAATTAAGGTTTTTGGCTTGATAGCTCATTTCTTTTTTATTGCTGAGTAATATTCCATTGCAGATGTACCACAGTTTATCCATTCACCTTTTGATGGACGTATTGATTGCTTCTATTTCTTTGTAATTATGGATAAAGCTGTTCTCTTCTTTTTAATTATAAATACAGCATTATGTCTCAGGTCCTCAAAACTCGTTGTTAACATAGTTTATACTGTAGTGACTGAATATACTTTTGAAAGGCTTTCAAATTAAAATGATTGTCTTTGGATAGTAGGATAGTGGATGATTGAAGACATTTCTTCTGTCTCATTCTCTGCATTTTTTTTTTAAAGATTTTATTTTTTCCTTTTTCTCCCGAAAGCCCCCCGGTACACAGTTGTATATTCTTCATTGTGGATCCTTCTAGTTGTGGCATGTGGGACGCTGCCTCAGCGTGGTTTGATGAGCAGTGCCATGTCCGCGCCCAGGATTCGAACCAACGAAACACTGGGCCACCTGCAGCGGAGCGCGTGAACTTAACCACTCGGCCACGGGGCCAGCCCCTCTGCATTTTTTAAATTCACCACAATAAGTGTGCATTTGTTTTATGGGTAGAAAAAGCAATGCGCTTATTTTTAGCAGTTTTTCATTTGCTCGGGTACTTGGGTAAGGGCTCCATTCCAGAGTTCCAGCTGCCTGAAAATTCAGGAGTGGAGCCTGGACATTTAAGAGCAAACAGTGTTACTGGTAGTCAGCCACCTCGCTCTCTACAATAGCCTGATTATGGCTTCCAAAACACATGCTATTTTGAGGGACATCAGGGCTTATTAAAGATGTAGAAGGTCCTGGGTCCATTCCAGTTTTTGAAGTTCCAGCATAATTTAAAAAATGAAAAATGTCAATACAAAGTTATACAAACTCTGGTTTATTTAGACTCGGATAAAGAACATCTTGTATTTCTGTGGCTCCACATAGGACCCCTTTTGCGGGTAGTGCAGTGTTCTCCATTTGAGGCCTGGGCCCAGCCTGCCTCTGAGGAGTGTCACCAGGTCTTGAGGTAATTGCTAGAATATGTTGGCTGCAAAACTTGCTCCCACTCCCAACCAGGCAGCTGAGCAGATTAAGCTCTTGAAGTGGAATTGTTTAGTGCTGTCATCTAAATAGTTCTTTAAATGGGAAGGATGTACAAAAAGAGCTTACATCTATATGTCATTTTAAAGTCTCCAAGATCCTTTCGCAGTGAACAGTTTGATTCTTGTCACTGCTGAAGAGGAGAAGGGGCGATGGTCGCTTTCATTTTTGAAAGGAGTGGTGAGGACACAGGATGAATCAGAGGTGAGAGTGGAGCTTAAACCTGAGCCAAATGCCTTCTACTGCACCCCTCACCTTATCATCCACCACCTACCACGCCAAGTCTCCAGGCTCTCACCCTGTTTCCTCTCTGACTTCCCCTGTTCAAAATGACCCCTAGGATTCCCTTAACACTTCACTCCCACCTCACCCCCCTTCCTATGGATGAATTCTGGTTCCCTGTTATGGCCACTGGACGATCGGTAGGGGGAAATGGGCGTGCAAAAGGTCTGGGGAGTCTATCTCCTCATGCTCTGGACATTTTTGTCACTTCCTTGTCTGATTCCTTTATCCAGTGTTTATGGCTCCCTCCGTCTAAACCTTGTTCCTGGGTCCAGCCTTTTGTTCTGCTTTGCTCTTTTAAAGGCGGCAGCAAAGAAGAGCATCACAGAAGTTGGTCCGGAGCTGGTAGATCTGGTGGAACAGCTTATAGACATCGTCAAGAACCTTCAGAGTCAGAGACACCTCCCAGAGTCTGGACGAGACAATGAACTGAGCAGCCCGGGCACGGTAGGCTCAGCTGGGAGAGGAAAGGATGTGTTGGGGGCCAGGCTAGGGACAGCTTCCAATTGGAGCAACAGGAATATGTTTGCAATTGAAGGATGCAGTAGTTCTTAACCTTTGACCATCCTCTTTACTACCAAACGTGGATGATTGGAAGTTTGGAATGCTTGAAGTGACGTAGGGAACTTCGAGTGGGCTAGATTCCATCCTTACCACTCCACCTAACCAGCTCTCAGGTCACCAATGACCTCTGTGCAAATCCTGCAGACATTCTAGTCCTCGTCTTCCTTGGCCTTTCAGCAGCTTTTGACACAGCTGACCAAACCTTCATTCTTGAAGCTTTCTTTTCCCGTAACTTCTGGGACAGGAGTCTTCCAAGCTTCCCCTGTTTCTCTCTGGCTGCTCCTTCTCAGTCTGTTTTCAGGCTCACTCCTCAGCAATGAAATGCTGGAATTCCTCACAGCTGAGTTGTAGGTCTCTTTCTCTTCTCCGCTACGTGGTCTTCCCGACACCCATGGCTTTAATTCCCACTTTTCTGCACAAACTTAGCTCCAGCCTGGACCCTTCTCTGAGCTCTAGTCCAGTATCTTCCTTCTCATCTTTTCTTCGTGGTGTCTCAAAGGCACATCACACTTAAAATGTCCTAAACACTTCCTCCTCTGGGGTTCTCCATTGCAGTGACTAGCCCTATTACCCTTCCAAGTGCACAAGCCAGAAAGCTGGGAATCATGTATCTCTCCTCTCACCAGCTTAAACACCTCTTGAATCAATTTAATATTTTTGAGCTCCTTTGAGACTTCTCTAATCCAAGTCTGTGATCATTTCTTGCCGGGATTGCCACAATAGCCTCCTAATTGCTCTACTCTGTTCCCTCTAGTCTGCTTTCCTCGTGGTCATCCAAGTGATGCTCCCAAATGCAAATCTGATCACATAACTCCTCTGCTGAAAACACTCCAAGGATGTCTGTGTGGGTAGGATTAAGACCCAAATCCTCACAGAACCCACAGGGCCCCGTAGGATCCCATCCCTGTCTGCCTCCCCTGGCTCACTTCACCCAGCTCCCCCTGGTTCTTCAAGCTCCAGCCACACTGGCCCCCTCCACCCCTCAGGGGGTCATGCTTCTTCCCACCACAGGGTGCACTCCATGGGATGTTCCTCCTTCCCCCTGTCACCTAGGTAACGCCTGCTCATCCTTCATACCCCAGCTAGAGCATCACTTCCTCGGGGAAATCTTCACTGATTTCCTTGAACAAGTCAAATCCCCCTTTAGAGGCTCTTGTGATTTCATGTACCTTGCATTTGTAGCTGTTGCCACAGTTGCAACTTGATAATGATGCCATAATTTATTAATGTCTTTCCTCCCTCTGCTCTTACACTGGACTCTAAGCTTCATGAGGCTAGAGACCTTGATGGCTTTTGTTCTTTTGTTTACCCTTGATCCCCAGGCCTAGCGCAGTGCTTGACACGTAGTAAATGCCCAACAAGTACCCACTGAATGAGTGAATAAATGCATCCTCAGGGATGCAGTGAGTTGGGATGGAAAGTCTGAGAGTCTGACTTTCAGTACTGCTGTTGCGACTCACTAGTATTATGACCTTGGGCGGGTCCTTTCATCTTTCTGAGTCCAGGTTTCTATCTGTAAAATAGGAATCCTGTTATGTGGCCTGCTGCCTCACTGGTTTGATGTGGGATTAGAAGAGATCTTACATAAAAAAGTGCTTGAGCGATGTGAAAATGTAGGATGATAAAATTAACTATGGCAATTGAGTTAACCTCCCTGAACTTTCACCTCTTTTGTAAAATGGGGACAATAAAGCTACTTCGGGAGCTTGGCATGCAAAGTAGAGGTGAGCAGTAGAAAGTACTCAATAAGTGGTGCCTACTACCATTAGGATTGGTGAAAAGAATGGGGAATGGACTGTGCAAAGTAGGGAAGGAAAGTCAGGTGCTGAAGGTGGGAATGTGGTGAGCAGAGGAGAGGTTGTGTTGGGGAATAATAGGGCCTGAGGTTAAAGAAAATCAGGGAGCATGTGTTGGAGGCCTCAGATGCAGGCAACATGTTTACGCTGGCTCTTGAGAAGAGATGTGATATAATGATAGCAGTTCAGGGAAGATAATTCTGGCCTCTGCGGCTTATCTCAGTGACTATCTGTATTATTTATTTTATAAAGCCCCTATAAGATGGGCCTAAAAATTTTAAACGTTTTTTTGGTATTATCTAGAAATCCATATTTATTGTACAAAATACTAGAAAATACATAGCACTAAAAAAAACAAATGAACATTGCTCATAATCCCATCAGCCAGAAATAACCACTCTTTAATATTTTTGCTGTCCCGTGTATTATTGTAGATTGTTTTCAAGGCCTATATTTTGAGGGCCTTAGTATGTTTTTAAAAACTTGTCAGGAGGTAAGTAGAAAACTACAGATAGACGGCAGAACTGGAACATACTATCTAATACACTCCTTAGGAGACTTTTGTTTGTTTATTTTTTTATGATTTGTCAATAGGCTTTTTCTGGTGGGATGGACCTTTCCTTGGCTTCTCCAAAGGTGGTAACTTCCAACACACCTGAGAGAAAAGTGAGCGACATTCTGCATGACCTAGAAGAAATCCTGGGAAAATTACGAGAAAACTTCACGTGGAAAGAGGCCCTTGACTCACAAACACGGGGTGAGTTGATTTTATTTGGTGGAGGAGATTAAATATGGAAGTTGGGGGAAAATGACAAAGTGTTTTGTGGCTTTGTTTTGGGGGACAGGACCCCAGAGCCCAGCTGCGTTCCCACTGTGGTGTTGTAAATATGGAAGGAGTGGGCTGAGGTGTTTTGGGGCTGGATACGTTTTCGGACGTGACTGGAGGAGTGATGTATCACAGGCCCTTAATAGAAGGAAACTTATTTTCTAAGGCCTGTAACTCCAGTACCTAGACCGATGTCGCTAACTTACCACTCATCTGTGTTAGCTACCTGAGGAGGAAACCAATTAGAACTGTATTAGTTAATTTATTCAATAAATGTGCATCAAACACTTCCTGTGTACCTGGCACTGGACTAGAGCCTTAGAACATGGAGATGAACAAGGTCTCTGCCAGCAAGGAGCTTAGAGCTTAGTGAGGGGACAGTAGAAAAGTCCTCAGTGAGAACATGAGTCTGGGCTGACCTGAGCTGGATGGACTGTCTGGTCAAGTCCTGACGCTAAAAAATGTGCTGCTATGAGGAAGACAAGTCGGGAGCTCTGATCATGATGTTTGGATACCTGCTATTTGCCTTTTTTTGATGGGACTCTCTCCTCCTCCCAATTTTTCTGGTTCCTTAGTGGAAGTCCTGGAAGCTCCGTCTTCCTCTTCATGCCCACTGCCTGACCAGAGCCGCCCTACGCCCAAGAGGGCCTCCAGGTTTGCTCAGTGTAAGTACGTGGTCTGCTTAAAACTTGGGTTTGGCCTGCTGCAGGGAGGAGCTCCGAGAGCATCCTGTGTTCTTCTCCCTGCCGCCAGGCCTACTCCTTAGCTCACTACCCCCAGACGAGGTCCCTCCACATGGGGAGCTGATGACAAAACCAAAGGGGATTGAAGACTCCCAAATTCCAGGCTCAGCCAGACCCAGAGCACTCAGAGTCCAGGCACTGTTGGGGCATCTGTGCTGGGGCCTCCACGCACAGCCAACTGCCTGTTCCCCAACCCATTTAGATACTATCATTGTCTCAGTCTGGAGTAGTCCTTGAGAGCATGCATCCTGGAGCCAGACTGCTTGGGTCTGACTCCGAGCTCCTCTACTCACTAGCTGTGTGGTCTTGGACAAGTCATGTAACCTCTTAGAGCCTCAGTTCCCTCATCTGTCAGTTGGAGATAACAATAGTACTTCTTCCTTCGTGGGACTGTCATGAGGGTTAAATGAATGAGTGTGTGTCAGTGTGTGCCTAGAGTAGTAATGCTATGAGTGTTAGCAAGTATTTACTCACTTAATAGGAAACATATGAAATACACAAAATGAATAAGACATGGTTCTCAAACAGAAGCCTATGGATAACTGGAGTGATATAAACAACCGTGGTCATAAATCACTGTACTACATGTAGAAGATGGTGAGTATCATTAGAGAACAGGTCAAGCACTAGGGGTGTTGAGAAAAGGAAGAGGTGACTTTTTGCTGGGTGGGATGCAGAGAGGGCTTCCTGAAAGAGGGCTAATGAGTAAATAGAAATTAAGGTGGGAAAGGGATATTGTTAATAGAAGATCAGGAACAGCTACAGAAAACTGCAAGTTGATGTACCAATCTCATTGGCAGTACCAGTAAAACTTTATCACACCCAAAAATACAAAGGTGCTTTCTGCTCTCTGAGGACCTCTTAACATGGACCATCAGAGCTGGAGGGTCATGTTCTTGTTTTCTTCCCAGGGGCCATCAGTCCAACCTTTGACCTCAGGAGCCTCTCCTGTAGCCTGGGGGTGTCCCAGGATTGCCGGACGGTGACTGTATCTCATGACTCACAGTCCTATCCCTGGAGTCATGAGAGGTTTGCGACCTGCCAAGTTTTATGTTCCCAAGCTTTCTCTTCTGGGCATCAGTACTGGGAAGTGGACACTCAGCATTGCAGCCACTGGGCAGTTGGGGTGGCTTCCTGGGGCATGAGCCGTGACCACATCCTGGGAAGGACCAAGGACTCCTGGTGTGTCGAGTGGAAGGGGACTAGCCAGCTCTCTGTGTGGCACATGGTCAAGGAAACTGTCCTCGGCTCAGACAGACCTAAGGTGGTGGGCATCTGGCTGGACCTTGAGGAGGGGAAGCTTGCCTTTTATTCAGTGGCTACTCAGGAGCAACTTCTGTATGAGTGCTCGATCTCTGCCTCCTCTCCTCTGCACCCTGCCTTCTGGCTGTATGGCTTACGTCCCGGAAACTCTCTGACTATAAGGCAAGTAAAGGTATAAAAGGTTCCTTGAATGTTAAAACACAGTGTTTCCCTGGTCTCTTTGCCTTCAAGCAGAGACTTGACTTAAGAATCCCACTTCGGAAGTTAATAAAGGGTTAACTCAGCAGACTTGGGATGTTCAAACTCTGCACATTCCAAAGAAAAGACAGGCCCTTAACTGGCTCCTGGGAGATAACTTTGAAGCCCTTGGAATATCCTGCCCGATAAGGTCTTTGTTTACTAGGGGGCCTTGGGCCACACAGTATCAGCTTGACTTCTAGAGGGGCTGGAGACTAAGGTCAGCCCTGTGGGCAGTGAGCCTGCCTACATGCTGGACTCCCAGTAAAAGCCCTGGGCACCAAGGCTTGGGTGAGCTGCCCTCGCTGGCACCATGTGAGTGGTCACACATCGTTGCAGGGAGAACTAAGCATTGTTCCCATGACTCCACTGGGAGAGGATAACTGGTGCATCCTGGCCCCCGCCCCATGTGCCTTTTTCTATTGTTGATATTACTCTGTATCCTTTCACTGTAATAAACTGTAACCATAAATACAACAGCTTTGTTGAGTTCTGAGTCCTTCTAGTGACTGAATCACTGAACCCAAGAGTGGTTTTAGGGACCCCCAAACACAAGGGGCATGTTATCAATCACTGTGTGATATTATTGCAAACTTAGTGGTTTCAAACAGCACTTTTGTTATTGCACAGTTTCTGTGGGCCGGGAGTCAGGGCACAGCTTAGCTGAGGCTTCTGCTTCGGAGTCTCACAAGCTGCAAGCAAAGTGTGAGCTGGGGCCCTGGTGTCACCTGAGGCTCGACTGGGGAACGATCTGCTTCCAAACTCACATGCTTGTTGGCAGCATTCACTTCCTCGTGAATGAATGTCAGACTGAGGGCCTCAGTTTCTTGCTGGCTATCACCTGGGGGCCACCCTCAGTTCCTTACCCCATGGGCCTCTGCAACATAGCTGCTTACTTCCTCAAAGCCAACAAGGGAGAGAAAGTCTCCTAGCTAGATGGACATTAAATCTTATATAATGTAATTGCAAAAGCATATCATCACATACATCCCCTCACTTTTGCCTTATTCTATTGGTTAGCAGGAAGTCCCAGGTCCTGCTCACACTCTGGGGGTGGGGATGACTCAAGGGCAGGAATACCAGGTGGTGGGGGCTCATGGGGGTCACCTTACAGTCTGGTCGGCACGGGGCATCATTTCATACTTGATTTCCCCTATTTTAAAAAACCATTTATTATATAGCAGAACAGATACCGAAAACTACACAAAACACATATGGAGTGTAAGGAATTATTATAAGGTAAACACCCTTGTAACTATCCTTCAGGTCAAGAAGTAAAACTTTGCTACCCACCCCAGAAGCTCTTCACATGCTCCATCCCGATCACAAAACCCTCCCTCCACCTGAAAGGATTCCTGACTTTTATAGTAATCACTTCCTCGCGTTTCTTTAGAGTTTTAGCACCCAAATATGCACCCCTAGGCACAAGAGTTTTGTCTTGCCCATTAAAAAAACCCTGGTATGTCTTTTTCTTGGGGCCGGCCCTGTGGCATAGTGGTTAAGTTCGTGCACTGCGGTTCAGTGGCTCAGGGTTTGCAGGTTCAGATCCTGGGTGTGGACCTACACACTGCTCATCCAGCCATGCTGTAGCAGCGTCCCACATACAAAATAGAGGAAGATTGACACAGATGTTAGCTCAGGGACGATCTTTCTCACCAAAAACAACAATAAAACCCTAGTATGCCTTTTTCTTAACAGCTTTGTTGAGATATAATTTACATAGTATAAAATTTACCTATTTCAAGTATACAAATAAATTTTTAAGTATATTTACAGTATATTATAATCTAATTTTAGAACGTTTTTATCACTCCCAGAAAGAACCCTCATACTGTTAGCAGTTGATATGTCTTTTAAGTTTCCTGATCAACATGCCTCTCCCTCCTCTTCTTTTCCTTACAATTCATCTGTAGGTCCCCAGGCTGGGTTACACCTATTTTGAAGATGTGAAAGTTCAACTCTGTTGAACTGGATCAAGCAGAAAGCCTTGCCACACACACCACCAGGCAACCTTTGCTAGTGCATTTAACCTCTCTGCCTCTCTTTTCCCTGTAAAAGGGAAATAATTATGCTTTGCCCCTCCTTGCCTTCCTCAAAGGGTTGCTGAAAGAATTAAATAAAGTAACAGGTGAGGAAACTGGAAAAATGCCAGGGTGTTTAAAACCCCAGCAACAATGACAGAACAATATTTTAATATCATGCACCTTGGCCTCTAAGATTCATACCTAATTTCCATACATAGCCTTGAAAACAGAGGCAAGCAGAATTCTGCACGATCCACTAATTTGCTCTCTGAGCCTCACGACCGCCCTGTGTGATGGGTATTAACACACAAAGAAGTGGAGGCCTGGACAGGGTTAGCAGTTTGTCCAGGGTCAGTCAGCTGGGGTGGCAGAGCTGGGAGCAGGCCCAGTCTTCACGCTCGGTCTCTAACCTTAATACCCTCTGATAAGGACTGTCCTGAGACTAGGACCTGGCCTTCCACCTTGATCGGACACAGCTAGCCGTAAAGCCATGTTGTGCTCTTTTTCTGGTTGGTGGTGTTGGCGATCCTCGATGAGTATAGTGGCCTTGGGTTGTCTAAGCAAGGACAGTCCTCCTCTCTTTGTGCCAGATGACCATTAAAAGTCTCTCTGTTCTCACCTTCTGCATTTTGAAGCTCCTATCTTCTCACCTAAGCTTTTATCTTGATCTTTGCCTTTTAAAAGTGCCCCGAGTTTAGAGGCCAGAGTTTTAGCCTCTTAAGGTCCTTTGGTTAAATACCATCCTTTCAGGTGGTTTGGATAATGGGGCCTCTGTGAGCATGGAGTTTATCAGCTGGTCACAAGATTCCCCCAAACTGGAGCCAAAGCACAAGAATCAGGAAGGTAAACAATGAAGGTTATCACTTTTGGCTTCTTTGCTTTTGTCTCGAGTTTTCTGTCAGCATATCCCTTCCAGTCCACTGTGGCAAATGGCACGCTTCCCTTGAACTAAACAAAATCCTCCAGAGGAGAAGAATTGAAGCTGAAATGCCAGTGGATGAAGGACCTCTCTCTCGGGTCTGCACTGTACGGAGAAGGAAATCATCCACCCACCGATCGAGCCGGAAAGTCTTCCCCTGGGGAGCAAAGGCTCATGGGAAGAACACCAGGGACTCCTTGCGCAGCTTCTCATCCTAGCTGGAGATGTTTCTCTCAAAAACTTGTGTTTTCTTGTAGGCCTTGTCTCTGTTAAGTGCTTTTTTTCTGGGAGTCAGGGAGAAGGGAGTAGCGTTGTCAGTGAGGAAGGCTAACTCTGTATCTCTCTCCCTCGCTCTTCTCCTCCATCTCACACACTCACCCGCTGGTGAGGCAGCTACTGGAAGGCACTGTGGGCCCATTATTGGGGTCCAGGACTTTGGGATCCTAGAATAACCACCTACTAAGCAGGAAGTCACCACCTTCTTAGGCTCACGGCAACCTCTAATGCAGTTACGTCTATCAGTCCCTTCCTTCTCCTCCCTCAAGCACATTTTTTCTGGAAAAGTTTAATTTGAAGACTTTACTTCCCAGCTGATTGTAGAAACAAACCACAAAATGAAACAACGCTGCTCTCTGAGGAGACTTCTCAGGCCCTCTTGCTCTGGTCGAAGGGGAAGTTTCTTCCCCAGGGGCACTTGGGGCTTTTGACAGAAAAGGGAGACTCTTCCTTGGTATACGCTCGGCTCCATCATCCCCGACTCCTGCCCGAGCCCTCAGCCCCAAGCCCCAAATTTATCCTCATTTGTCATTGCTCAAAACCCTCATCACTACATGGTTTTTCTGTCCTTCCAGAGGATTTAGTCTTCTTCTTTGATTATACATAGGTTATGCTGAAGATTGGTTTTGATTTGGGATTTCCCTTCCTAACCAGCCATAGGTTTCTTTTAGGACAGGGTTTCTCAAACTTCAGCTTTTCATGTGCCATGATTCTCGTTACATCTGTATATCTCCCATACCATTTTTTACTTAGTATTTTTTCCTAAACCAACTCCCTCTTCCCCCCTCAGGTACATTTATTTCAAAGGGAAACTTCTAAAAATTTGTGTAAATGGAAATCAGAATCACGTGTCTTAAATAGAAAGGTAACCCTAACTATATGTTTCAAGGACAACGAAACAATGCGAGTAGCTTAGTGCTGTCGTCTGTCTAAGGCTCGGAATCTGAGGCTTGCTCCAGAGCTCGCTCGTCCATGCGTGCTGTCTCTCTCTCTCTCAAAAGGAGATTGTCAAGTGTTACAGGTTTCGGAGGTTTTTAGTTTGACTTAATCTGGATAGAAAGATAATAGAAAAGGGAAAAACTTTCTGGCCACGAGAGTCAGTGTTTCCAGTGTCCCTGCGCCATCTATAATTTCTCTTGTTCCGTCACTTTGGGAAGCATGATGCTAAGAGGTCTGCTGCCGTAGGGAAGACTGTGTCTCCCTTCCCTGCTGGGTGAAATTGTTTCACCTTTATTTTTCCAAATAAATACGTCCTAGGGGAGGAAACCTATGACTCTGATCAGTGACAATCTCCAGGACACAATGTCTGGGAGTTGCCTTAGATCTTTTCTCTTACCTCCTTCTGTCCAATTAGTCACCAAGTTCTGACACTGGATTCTGCCTTCTCAAATCATCTCAGCTCCGGCCCCTCCTCTTCCCTTTGCATCTGTACTCTGGGGCATACTCTCATCACTTCTGTCCCGGATTATTTTAATTCAAGCCCCTCTATCTCTAGTCAGAACCCTCTTCTCATCTATTCTCATTCTGCTAATGTGAGCATTCCAAAACACAAATTAGATCGCGTCGCTCCTCTGCTTAAAACGCCCCCGTGCTCCCCGGTGCCTACAGCAGAAAGTTTCACTTCCTACCTCTGCTCTTGATATCCACCTAGGACAAGGTTGACATGAGGGAAGCCATATTGTAACTTAGAATAACCTCTAACCAACTTTGCACGTAGCCTAGGTGATAAATAGCTACCCTCCAGGAAACATGCATACTCTGTAGATTTTATAATCCTGGCTGATGCATGTACCTCTCTGTAGTGATAGATGGTACTTTGTTCTTTTGAGAGTCTTAGGAATATGATGACCTCCTCAGAGAAGAACATCTCTGCTGGCATCCATCATCGATGACAACTGAAAGATCTGGTATGATGTCTCCAGTCACCGATGCCAGATTGTCAACATTCCTGAGCCCCTCTTTCATAGCCCACTAGCCCTATATAACTACTTAAACTTTGTGCTTCTTTAAGATGGTCTTTGGGACATGAGTCCACCATCTTCTTCTTTTGTTTTTTTAAATATTGGCACCTGAGCTAACAACTGTTGCCAATCTTTTTTTTTTTTTTTTAATTCTTCTCCCCAAAGCGCCCCAGTACATAGTTGTAGATTCTAGTTGCGAGTGCCTCTGGTTGTGCTATGTGGGACACTGCCTCAGTGTGGCCTGATGAGCGGTACCATGTCCACGCCCAGGATCCGAACTGGTGAAACCCTGGGCCACCAAAGCAGAGAGTGCAAACTCAACCACTCGGCCACAAGGCCGGCCCCCAATCTCTTTTTTTTTAAAGTCATCTTGGCAGAGTTACCTATGAAGGTGGTATAGGTTTTTTTTTTAAGGATTGGCCCTGAGCTAACATCTGTTGCCAATCTTCTTTTTTTTCCCCCCAAAGCCCCAGTACATAGTTGTATATCCTAGTTGTAAGTCCTTCTAGTTCTTCTATGTGGGATGCTGCCACAGCATGGCTTGAGGAGTAGTGTGTAGGTCTGTGCCCAGGATCTGAACCATTAAACCCTGGGCCACCCAAGCAGAGCATGCAAACTTAACCATTACACCACTGGGTCAGCCCCTAATTTATAATCTTTAATGCATTTTTTTCTTTTCTTTGTATTCTTTATCTAATATTTGTGTATGTGCATTAGTTTTTAATTATCCAATTAACCCATGTGCATGCTTATAAAAATTCAATATTGCAAAAGTATAGTGGGTAAAAGTTGCATAAGTAAATAGACCATACTAGTTTTTGTACAGTTATAACTGTATATATGATTTTATATTTCTGTTTTTTCAGTTATTTTGTAAATACTTTTCCATATCTTTAATAGTCAACAGTTTTAATGACTGCAAAAGTTCCGATAATTTTGTCATAATTTAGCTATTCCTCTGTATGTTTTTCCATTTTTAACTATTGTGTAATGTTGTTATAAGTAGAATATATATATATATTTCTTCTTTTGGATTATTTTCTTGAAATATATTTAATTGTGGTGATTTCTTTGCAGAGATAAACAGAAATTATAAATTTACTATCCTATGGAATTTTTTGTTTTGCAGAAATAGCCTGTGGCCTAAAAAATTTTGAGACTCACTGGTTGGTATATATAATAAGTCAGCAGAAATTTTAATGTCTCTACAGTGATTAAAAATTGTATTGAATTCATTTTGCCTTTCAGAGTTTACAATTTGGGTGGGCAGGCTAACCACTTTGCCCTTGGAAAGATAATGCAAGTCAGCAAGTGAATTCCAAATTTAAGAATGCAGCTGTTAAGGGTGATTTGTTAGCATGAACTATGTGTTAAGCAATGTGACAAATGCTTTACCTGTATTATTTTATTTAGTTCTCAAAAGAGTCCTATGAGATAGCTCCATTTTGCAGATGAGGTTTACGTTTTTCAGAGGGGCCATGTAACTTGCCCAATGTTGCACAGCAAGCAAAGTATTGGAGATGAAATGGAGACTCCAGAGCCCATGCTCTTCACCATTCCATGGGGAATTCAGGCCAGCTGGAGGGGGGATGGTCTGAGAGCCTTCTCAATATCAATTCTTTCTTCATTGAGGGTATTTGTTTTACAATTTGTATCTGAAAGGAGCTCGAGAAAATTAAAAAGAAAACTAGATGTCACCTTATCAGCAGATGAGGATCTTGTCTGGAAAACTTTCAACACGGTTAGTTTTAATCAAACGCCTTTTAATAAGTAATTGTGCTGAGTGATGTGTCTTGCTGCCAAATCAAGCAAACAGAATCTGTGTCCTCTAGAGATTGATCCATGTGACTATGCAGAGGACATGGATGTTTGAACAATGAACCAAGAACACGAGCATTAAAAGGCAAGATAAAATATTTACCCTGAATCAAACTGCTGGACTTTTCCGTTCCACCAGAGCAGGCTTGGCAGGAAGAAGAAGTCTTCCTGGAAGGAACGGGAGGCAAAAGTGAAGAATGGGCAGATAATGGATGCTGCTTTGGGTTTAACTTAAGTGATCAAAGATAGATGGGTCTGAAGAGTGGGGCTGATGCCAACCTGTCTTGTTTGGCCTCTTGCCCAGGACTGTGTTTAACTCACCAATCAGAGACCAGCCTCTTGTTCCACCCAATGTCAGTCATTTAACACACACTGTATCTTCTACCCAGCATGCCCCCGGGTATTCCACTGTCCTGAGACTCAGAGAGAGCCTGGGTTGCAAGTTTCTCCTTTGATAGGCATAAAAGATGGATCCTCTTAGCTTCTGGCAAAAGTACTTTGTTCAGACCTCCTTATGTCTACTGCACAGTTGAGGAGGCATGAAGTCTGTCTTGTGAAGGTAGAGCTCCTTTCTAGCAGCATTCCAGAGGAAAATTCCATCAGTGCCTTCTAGATCCCAATCTGTCCTCTTTGCTTTATTCAATCTACTTAATATACAGTAATCAATCTGTTCTATCCCAACTGTAAATTTCACTGCCAACAACTCCATTCTCTGGCTCATGTTTTGCTGCAGTGTGTGTCATCATGTGGCTCTATTCTCAGGCTCAGAGAGGTGTACAGAAGTCACTTCCCTCACAATTTATTTTATTTACCCAACATTTATATATCACGGACCATGTACCAGGCACTATTTCCTTTAATATGTTTTCCAATTATATTAACTCGCTGAATCTTCATAACAACCCCATGAAGTGTTATTTCCATTTGGCAGATGAGGCACAGAGAACTTAAGCAATTTGCCCGATGAGGTCAGACCTTCACTCCTGAGGTTCTTCTAGGCAGTATCTCCACCTTGTTGGACATAGCCCTCGATAACATTTGGTTGAGTAAAGGATGTCTCACTCCCAGGATCGAGCCCTTTCCACTACCCAAAGCCCACCACCTGAGCTTCAGAAAACTTCAGAGTGACCCCTGATGCATGTCTGCTAACATTATGAGAAGGGCATAAAGCTCAAGGCAAGGCAGGGAGCCCAAATTTCAGAAGTACAGCTGGTCAGGAGACGGAGAGGGTCTGTCAAAAGAAACTTACATTGCCCGGGAGGCACACTCCTGCGTGTTGGACGCCCTGCCTCCAGCTTTGGTGAGTGTTGGCCTCCCTTTGTACCAACCCGTTAGTTGTTGCCTGCTGGAGGTGCTTGCTGGTTGTCTCCTTTCTGCAGCCCTTGAGTCTCCATTTTTAAGTAAGTTTTATTTACAAAGGAGTGTGCAGTATTATCTCTGTGATGTTCCCCCCAAATAAATTCTTCCTCCCAGTCTCCTCCCTTCCAGACATTTCCCCATGCCATAGCCATTACCCAGGGCTCATGCACAACTCCACAAAGCCCTTGTCTCTTCTTACACTCCTGGAGAAGTCCCACAGAATGAACATTGCCATCCGCTGGCAATGCTGATCCAGAGCTCTTGGGATCAAAATTCCCTGCAAAGTCCTGCTGGGAGTGAGCAGTGCCCTAAAGAATTTGCCCTTCTCTGAAAGGCCTTTGTCCTTTGTGACCTGATATTTGTCTAATTTATTTTTTTTTAATAAAAAGCTTTCTCACATACATTATTTCTTGGGATCTTCCAAACGACTCCACAAAGTACAGGGTTGGGAGGAGATTATAGTCTTCGTTTGGTAGAGAGGAAATTGAGGCACAGTGAGGTGATGAGACTTGCCCAGTCAGGCTCTACGGACGCCAGAGCCAGGCCTGCGTCTCAGCTGTACCGCCTTTGGCAAGTCACAGTATCTCTCTGGGTCTTGCTTTTCTTACCTACAGAGTGATGGGATTGGGAGAGGTGCTCTGTAAGGGTCCTTTCAGCTCAAACATTTCGTGATACTAAAATTCTGAGGACTGCTGTTCCCTGAAAGATCAGGTAATCAAGCCTTCTGAACTTCACATTTCCATCCGTCTGATTTGCATCCATCTTGGACTGTGACTTCATTATCTCTCAGTGAGCAGGGACTGTGTCTTTCCTGTCTCCCTCTTTATATCACAGAGAGAGTGTTTTTTGGAAGGGCTTCCTCCCCTATGCTCCTGAGAGACATATTATAACTAAGATGGTGAAATACTGTTGCAAACATAACAATGGTGAGTCTGGCACTATACCAAATGCTTGATGCGTATTATTTATTCTTCACAATTACCTGAAGAGATTGGTATTGTCATCATTACCGCCATGGTACAGAAGAAGCGACAGGCTTGGAGAAGTAAAAGAACTTACTCAAGATCACAACTATTAGGTGATGGGCTCAAGTCAAATCCAGGCAATTTGTCAGCAGCTCTTATCTGCTGCACCATACCATGTGGATTCTCCTATGAGAAAGGGGTTTTGGTATTATGCACATTTTATTTCCTTTAAAAATTCACTATGGAGCCAGTCCTGATGGCCTAGAGGTTAAAGTTCAGTGGGCTCCATGCCAGGCAATCGAGGTTGAGCTCCCAGGAGCAGAACTACACCACTCTTCTGTCAGTAGCCATGCTGTGGTGGTGGCTCACAGAGAAGAATCAGAAGAACTTACTTACAATTATACACAACTATGTACTGGGGCTTTTGGGTGGAAAAAGGAAGAAAAAAGGAGGAAGACTGGCAGATGTTAGCTTAGGGAAAATCTTCTGCAAAAAAAAAATTCATTATGTAATATTTAAGACAGAAAAAAGGCACATTATGCACAGGTAGTGTTTCCTCATTTATCATTTATTGTATATATCTCTATATCTATCTATGTATCTATCTGTCTCCCACTGTGTGTCAAGCACTGTTCTAGCATTAGGGATATAGCAAAAAATTCCTCCAGATTGAGAGGGTCAGGAGGACATTAAGGGAATGTTAGGAAAGTCAGTAAGAGTTTGTTATCCAGTGCCACCTAAGTGTCCAGCAACGTGTTGGGCAGGCCCATGTAAAGAGAAGCATCAGAAGACCTTGCCGAAAGTAAACCAAGTAGAGAGAGGAAAGTCACTTAGTTTGGCTAAGAAATGAATCTGTTTACATAGATAGTGTAAAAACGAATCTCATAATTTAGAACTGTATTTTACAAGCATCACAGGTAAAAAGCAGCTCGGGTGGTGGGCTTCGGGTAGTGGAAAGAGCTCCATCCTGGGAGTCACGTCATCCTTTACTCAACCAGGCTTTAACGAGGGCTACGTCCAATAAGGTGGAGATACTGCTGAAAACGAGGTAGACAGATCACTGCCCACCTGGGGTTTATAGTCGGATGAGAATATTCCCGCTCTGAGTCACTGCCAAGCTCTAGCTATGTGACCTTGGACGAGGAATTTCTCCTGCCCCTATTTTGGAAAATAAATGGCGAATCTCACTGGCGAATCTCACTAGCGAATCTGCCGTTCACTTCCAGACCCAAAGCTGTGTGCCCAGACTAGGGTGGGCGAGGCCCCGTGGTCTGCGCAGCGGCGAGCCTGACCGCGGGGGCGCTGCTCAGGGCCGGAGCGCGTTCGCATTCGCGTTCTGAAAGCGCTTGTCCCTCGCGGCGCCCCGTCGGCCCGCCGCCGCCGCCCGCGGAGCCGGAGGAGGCGGAGCTGGCGCCGTCCCGGCTCCCGAGCGGGGAAGCAGCCGAGGAGGCGGCGCGGCGGGCCCGGGCGGCCCAGGCTCGGGCGGAGCGGCAGGGGAGGCTGGCAGGCGGCGCCGGCAGCGCGGGGAGAGCGGCGCCGCGGGGTGGGCGCTCCCGGCGAGAGGAGTCCGCTCCATGCGTGCGGGCCGAGCCCGGCCCCTGCGAGCCGCAGACATGAAGAAAGACGTGCGGATCCTGCTGGTGGGAGAACGTGAGTCCGCGCGCCGGGCGGCCGAGCCTCCGCAGCCCCTGCCGCCGCGGGCCTGCTCGCCCCGCGCCGCCCCGCTTTCCTCCCTGCGCGCCCCCAGGCCTCCCAGCCCTTTAGCGCTCCCCTTTCGGCTGTCTGCAGGCGGCTCTCCACCTCTCATCTCACCTGAGCCCTCCTAAGACCTCCGTCTCCTGTCCCCCAGTCGTCCTCCCAAGCCAGGTCCCCGTTAGCCTCTGACCGCTCGGCCTCATCCCTCCGAAGGTTCTCTCCTCTTTTTCTTCTTCTCATCCTTTCCTCGTGGGCCTCAGCGTTTCCGAGGCCGCCTCCTTTCAGACCCTCTCGTCCTCCGTGGAGATTCCCTTGTCACTGCCAGGCAGGTGCTGGAACAGGCAGACTGACCAATTGGGATGGCGTGAACCGGCTCCCTGGGAAGCTAGGGGGAGGGGTGCAGAACTATTTGACTTGCGGGCAAGGTCAGCTTTCTGCATTTTTTTGCGCCCGGGATCTTCCCTCTCTCTAGGCATGGACGTTAAGGTATGGAACGTTTTAAGCGATACTCCTGTTTTGCGTTGGAATAACTCCTGGTACACTCCATGTTTCTTCAAAAATTTACTCAACTTCCAGTTATGCAAGTTACACAAGTGCTTAGTGAGTGGATAATTATCTGGGGAGGGTCCTTTAGTTGAGAGAAGTATTGTTACCCAAAGGCTTAATTCCTTCTCCTCTTTTTAAGCATTATTTGTTCCATAGCTACTTAGTAATTGATTTATAAATAACAGCAGGCACGCATGAGTTCCAAACAGACACACCCACGAGACCCCCTGAAGAATCTTAGATTTCACCTTTTGAAAATACCGTAAAGGAGAAATGCCTTCTGTTCGCTGACTTGGGGACAGCACAGCAGGGACGTCTTGATATCATGTGCAAGTTACATGACTCAATTGGTAGGACTAAAATAAGAAGAAAGTGGGCTGGCGAGGACTGTGTTGTTTGTTTTAAAGAACGTTAGTTAATACTCTACCATTGCTGTTTTGAAGCATTCTATTCTAAACCCCATTGCATTCTAGAATAGCCCTCCAGGTCACCGTAATGCACTCCCAAGGAAGAAAGCTAACACTTTTTTACCCTCTTCTGTAGTGTTCTTTGATGTTTATTGACATCTCTGTTCACCTGCTGTTTGGAGAAATCTTTTTGAATCAGAATTTAAAAGTCAGCTTAGCCAGACCAGTTTACTTTTTGGTTTGCAGTTGTGAATTTTAGTGTTTATTTATAACGTTATCTTAATCTGTGTTTTGGATGGACTTCCTTGACAAAGTTTAGAAAGGTGTTATTTAACATATGATTCACACTGATGCATTTGGAGCAAGGTAGAGAAAGTGAGTAGATGTTCTGCTTAAAAAACTGAAAAAAACAAAAAAAGTCCTGAACAGTGTCATAAAATAGTTTTATAGGATAATCTTTAATACTAACTTTTTAAAAGCAAAAATCCCATATTTTGGTTTTAGTTTTGAATATAGGAAGCAATTACGTGTAATCATTAGTCTGTAAAACATCTAAATAGAAATACTGTACATATGTAAGATATATTGTCAGCCTTGGGACATTTAAGTTAAAAGCTTAACAGTGTTACTTATTTAGAAGTACATAAAAGGAATAAAAATTTGTTAGAAAAATTACAAGCCATGTTCTGCAGAAATGAAAGGGAATAAGAGAGTTGATAAAAGTGTATATACAAGAGGGTTTTTTCCCTACCCTGAGCTAACAGCTGTTGCCAATCTTCCTCTTTTTTTCCTCCCCAAAGCCGTGGTGCATGGTTGTATACCCTAGTTGTAAGTCATGCTAGTTCTTCTATGTGAGCCAACACCACAGTATGGCAACTGACAGACAGGTGGTGTGGTTCTGTGACCAGCAAGCAAACCGAGGCCGGCAAATCAGTGAGCCCCAAACTTTAACCACTAGGCCATCAGGGCTGGCTCAAGAGTTTTTTGATCATAGGGAGAAACTTGACACAAGAGAAAGCCTTACTTTTTGAGGAAGACATTTTTCTTAAAAAGGGTGATACCAAAAGCTTTAGGCCAGCTGCCACACATGTATGTATTTTTTTTCACGTTTAAGAATATTAGAGTTATACTTATTTGAGACATGTTATTTTAATTACTTATGTTAAAGGCTGGTATTTTGGAGGGAAATGGTTTTTTTGTTTGTTTTTTTTTGGTGAGGAAGATAGGCCCTGAGCTAACATCTGTTCTCAATCTTCCTCTTTTTGCTTGAGGAAGATTGTCACTGAGCTAACACCTGTGCCAGTCTTCCTCTGTTTTGTATATGGGACGCCACCACATCATAGCTTGATGAGCAGTGTGTACGTTCCCACCTGGGATCTGAACCCACGAATCCTGGGCTCCCAAAGTGGAGCACGTGAACTTAACCACTACGCCACCTGGCCAGCCCCTGGAGGGAAATGTTTGAAGCGTTAACTTTTTGAGATTTCATGTAAATATTTCACAGCTGTCAGCCTAGCTGTGGCACTTTAAATGCTAGATAAACGTAGGTGTGACCAAGGCTATTTTAATACTGGTCCGATACACAGATTTATCGGGAAAACCACTTTTTTAGAAAAAAGTAGTAGTAATTCAGTTGTAGTTTTAAGATGGTTAACTAAGGGGAATGGGAAAAGCAAAGAAAAAGGAGCATCATCTCTGGTATTGTTGTAAAGTCTGCTCCTTCTCTGTCACTTTAGTATATTTTATTGCTCTTAGTGTCTGTCCCTGAACACACAGCAGCAGTTTCATTCACTGAAGCTCTGAAATAGTTGTGAATGGTTTCAACATTCTGCTGGCTAAACCTATGCTGTACTCGGGGGGTGAAATGGATCTTTACTTGGCCCGTCCAGAATCTGGGTTCTGATCCATCTAGGCTTTAATGCTAATTCCTTAATGTCCATTTAGTGCTTCGATCAGAGAAGCTAGGCTGTCTATAAATTTTAACGTATTTCTTTGAGCAGAAAGCCACAGTGCTTTAAATATCATCTGCACCTTGTCTTAATTATTGAACATGTTGAATACCATTCAGGCGAAATCAAAAGTCAATTACCATTCTTTAAACAAAACAAAATTTTAAAAATGCAACCACACAAAACTTAGTTCTTCAGGTTATAATTTTTCGTGGTCTGATTCGTTGGCCAGAATTTGTGTTTAATTAGATTTGCATTAGTATGCTTAACAGATGTCCTTGTTACAATACAATTAGCACAAGCCTTATTACCCTTTTGTCTGAATGAATCTTACAGCTACATTAAAAGTACACGAAATAGTTTTAGTTTTAATGAAGTCTTGTTTTTAAATTACGTTGAGATATATTTGTCTTCTGCTGGTCAAATTAATTAATTAAGTGGAACTGTTATCCCCTTTTTAAATGGATCTGGTAGTTTTTACCTGATTTGTCTAACTCTGATTAGTTTATCATCGAAACTTCTGCCAAACTAGTTCAAGCCTCCATTGGCTCTGGCCTGGGGTTTTGTAATATCTCCTTAACTGGTCTCCCTGCTTCTAATTTTGTCCATTCTCCGTGTCTCAGGCAGAGTCATCTTTAAAAAATATCTCAGATCCTGTTACCCATTTTTAAAATTCTCTAATGATTTCTTCTTTCTCTTAGAATAGAGTCCAAACTTTTTAACATGGGCATACAAAGCCCTTCACAATCTGGCCCTTCCTTGTACTGCTCTCTCCTTCACTGCTTTCTCTACAAGAAGGCCCTGACCCGGGCGGTATCGCACTCACCTGCGTATTTGTTCACTTGATTTTTTGATACTTGGGCTAGAAAGTAAGCTCCGTGAGGGCAGCTGGTTTGTCTTGTTGATTGCTGCATGCCCAGAGCCTAGAATAGGCCTGGCACAAAGTAGGCACTCAGATAGTTGAAAGTACGAGTGAGTTCAAGCTAGTTCCATTTATTTAGACTTTCCTTGTTTTCCAAACCACTTCTTTCAGTCCTAAAATTGTAATCATTCTCCTTTCTTAAATCCAGTCTGCTGTCGTTACTGTTAGGATTTGAAGGGGCAGCATCCATTCGGTCTCTTGTTCTGTGTCCTCAGCTTTGCTTTGTCTGGGAGATTCCTGTGTTCTGGCAATAAAGTAGACCAATGACTTATAATGGCAATGCCAAGTCTGTTTCATGTCTTGGCTGCCAGAAATTATAATCTTTGCCAAGAGAAGTCAGCTTCTCCTTGAAACACCAGAGGTCATTGTAGAGGTTTGAAGGGACTGGGGAAAGATTCTTCAGGTATAAACTAGGCATAAGAGTCAAAAAGACTTCAGGAATAAACTAGGATTTATTTTAGAAAAAAACTTTCTACAGTCCTTTTAAAGCCATGCTGGTCTCCCTTCTGGTCTTCGTAGAAGGATGTTTGAAGATTAAACTGCTCCGGTTTGTTATATGGTGTGTAGTACCTGGGTGATAGTTTATGGCCAAGAGTGTTCTAGCATTCTCGGCTTTCGAGAGTCTGTTCTGCATCGTCCTCACATATGTATCGAGGCCAGTTCTCCGCTGTTGTTTTTGTTCCTCTTCCACTACTGTTGATCTGGTTTGAAGGAGAGGGATAGACTATAGCGTTTGTCCTTCTGCAGTCCGCATTGTCCACATGTGGTCAGTGCAATTTTCCTTTGGAACAATGCTCAGCTATTTTCCCAGTTAAAAATATGAAGTTTTCCAGTTGAAAATATAACTCATTAGTCACCCTCCTTCTCCCTGTGTTTTCTAATTACAATAACTTAAGAAGAGCCAACAAAGCTTTTTAATAAAGAAGCAGATACAAATAAGGAGTAAGTCTCTTTGCCACTTGAAGTATGGGGTGTTTGTTATCAAGAAAAATAGCCAGTATGGCTGGTAGGGTGGTGATTGGAACCAGAGAATATTATTTCCACTTCATGAATATTAGGAATTTGCTGTCATTTAGAACTAGCTGTTCAAAAGATGTGGTGCAAAGACAAAGACGTTTTCGCCTTGTTAGTCTAGATAATTTGTCCTATAGTGAATTATGTTTCCCATGGATGACCTACTTAGAAGCATGGAGTCTCAGGCAGAACTGTGGCATGTTGTATTGGACTGAATCAGAAGGCCTTCTGTCCTTGGGGATAATTGTGGCTGTGCTTTTTGTTTTTATAGATCACTTCAATATTTCTCAGGCAAAATAGAGGAAATAGAGACCCTCAGATGGCTGGCCAGCAAAGGATAATTTTTTGTCTTCCATATTAAAATTTATATTAAATATATTTATATTAAAACATATACAATATTTTATTAAACTCGTTTATATTATAAAATATCTCTTATATATTTGTATTAAATATAAAATTTAATTGGTACAATAATTAGAGAAGAGCTTGAGATTTTGTTCCTTTCTGGAAATAATTCTTATTTTCCGAAGCAGTTAAAAATGTATAGTGTTTATACTCATGTCTGCCATTGTTAAGGGACCTTTTTGATTGTAGGCTTGTTTAAATAATTTTTTAAATTTCATATGCTAAAATGTTTCCCATATC